AGGAAGGAAGGAAGGAAGGAAGGAAGGAAGGAAGGAAGGAAGGAAGGAAGGAAGGGCCACAATAACACACTGATCCTCCAGGACAGAACAAATCTATGGTTACTAGAGGTGTGAGGTGGGAATGGAGAGATTGGGTTAGCGACATAAAAAATTATTATGATTTGTAATAATGAACATACTAATAATATTGATTTCATCAACACATGTTGTACACAGGTGATGGTAGTCAACATTGTATCCCTAACATATGTCTAATCAATCACACTTCAATGAAAAATAAATAAATAAATAAAACAAAACAAACAAAAGTAAGCCTATAGAGTAGGTTGTGACTTTTTAAAAGAACCTAAAGGAATCTATGCTGGTTATTAAGTTCTTTCTTAGCTCAAATCCATCCTTCAATAACATGTCCTGTTATTGGGGTTGTGAGTCGTAGATTTCTCTTTTGCCAGAGGACATCTGTTAAGTCCTGGGTACAGAGGGCACTAAAACAAGACCTGAAGTGAGACCAGGAGGGAGAAAGGATATATTCCTTTCAGTTTTTGCCATGCTCCCAGCATCAGTCTCATTGTATACCCCTCATAGGTGCCAATTCTAGCCACTAGTACCCTCTCTACTCTCAGAGGTCTGGGTTCCAGTCCTACAAGACCCCTTCACCAAGCTTCTAAGTTTATATAACTCCAACCTTTTCCTTTATTCTTCTAGCCTTAACTGCTTCTTGCAGTTACTCTCTCTGATATTTCAATGTCCCCTCATTGCCTTTTCAGTCCTCCTATACCCATTTGTTATGGTCTGAGTTGTGTTCCCCAAAAACTCATATGTTGAAGTTCTAACCCACAGTAGGTCAGAAAGTGACTGTTACTTGGAGATAATGTCTATAAAGAGGTAATTAAATTAAAATGAGGTCATTGGGGTGGTCCCTAATCCTCCATGACTGGTGTCCTTGTAAGAAAAGGAGATTAGGACATAGACATGGAAAGACCATGGGAAGACAGGAAGAAAATGGCCATCTTTAGGCCAAGGAGAGAAGCCAAGAATATATCCTTCCTTCATGGCCCTCAGAAGAAAGCAACTTTGCCAACAACTTGATCTTTGACTTCCAGCCTCCACAATTGTGGGAAACTAAATGTCTGTCACTTAAGCCACCAGTCTGTGGTAACTGTTATGGAAACTGTAGAAAACAAATACCCTGCTTAACCAACTCCTATATTAAATTATCTGTCAGAAAACCTTATATGCTAGTGACCAGAAGTCGTCCTAGGAAATAGATCCACAAAGATGGGATTTTTGGGGTTGTTTTGGACACACACAGCCTTTATCATAGGTGGTTACATCCAGAATAACCAAATTATTGTTGTGGTTCATTGTGCCTACTGTGCCACGTGTCCCAACAAGGGGACAAATGGCTGCTGCCCTTAGTTGTTAAGACAGTAATGACGGCTCCAAGGACAGTGGAGTAGGAGGCTGCTCCTGGGTACATTGCTGTACTATAGAAAGGAAATGACACACTCAGCTCTTAAAATTTCAGCTCAAGTCACAAGAGAACCAGAAAGCCTCTATGGCAGCTCTTAATGAACCTTTTATTTCTTGGAGCTCATATGCCCATAGCTGCAAATGTTCCTGATGACCCCAAAGCCTTAGCATCATAAGAGCAGTATCAGAGGAACTGACCGCTTGAGCACTTGACATCACAGAAGAACAACGGAGACAGAGACACTGCCTGTTACCCAGGAGGCAGAAATTATACTCGATTCAAATTGCCAGCTGCATACAAAAATCAAAATAGGAGGTCAGAGAAAATCATGAAAAGATGTTCACCTGTAGATGTTGTTTGTGTTCTGGGACTCTTAGCTCGAGGTCACCAAAATGCCACAGGCTTGGTTTCTTTTCTTATTATCCTTCTGAGAAATGGTAATACCAGATAATAAATATTTGCACAAGATAAATTTATCAATTAATTAGTGAGATAGTGTGAACATTCTAGCACTGACTGATAGGCTGCCAATAGTTCTTGTTGCCAAAATCTAGACTTATCTGAATGTTGTCTATCCTCTCATTTTGACCTTGAGAAGCAGTTCTGTACACATGGTCTTTGCAGTGCTGTCTGTGTCTTCCGTGTGCACACGTCCTCAAAGCCACACTGAAATAGGGAGGAGAGAAGAGATACTCTGTACGTCAGGTCAAAGAGCATATCATGTGCCCTATTGTCTTTCTGAGTCACATGCTGTCCAACAGATGACCATATAAACACACATATTGACTCATAAACGAACACGCAAAAAGATTCACATTCATTACCTACTGTGGCAATGAAGATAAGAGGGAAACCCATGGATTATTCGGAAGCTTTATTTTGTTTCAGATTTCTAACTCAATAAATGATTCAGACAGGGCTGCTCATTGAGAAATTATGAAAAGATTCACATTCATTACCTACTGTGGCAATGAAGATAAGAGGGAAACCCATGGATTATTTGGAAGCTTTATTTTGTTTCAGATTTCTAACTCAATAAATGATTCAGACAGGGCTGCTCATTGAGAAATTATAGTGGTATCTGAGTTTACCTCATTCTTCTAGCTATTCCTTATTTTTGCTCAAAGTGATAATAAGCAACAGGATGGCCATCAAATGAACTTGAAGAGTGATAAATAACAGCTGGAAAGAAAAGTCATTTGTAAAGACAAATGAATGGTCCCTGGTTAAACTGTCTGGTGGGTGCACCTGCAGTAGAGTTCACCCAACTCCTCCAGCCACTCTCTCATCTGGGAACCTGTCTCCACCTAGGAGTGCTTTTCGTAAGTCCTTCGTCTGGTGCAGGTACACTATGCTGACTGCCTACCAAGTCATTCTAGCCTCTCACCACTTGTGCACTTATACCTTCCCCTTGCACTTCCCAACACACCAGTCTCTACGGCCTCTGTAACATCATGATGCTCATCTGTCCTCCTGGAATGCCCTTCCCCACCATCTTAACCCAGAGCCAGTTCCTATTCCTCCTTCAAGACTCAGACATAAGTTTTTCCAGGAAGCTTTTACTTCCTTTTTTCCATTCTCTTCCCAAGCCCCAGGAGTTCCTCCAGGTGTAACTTATGCACACCTCCATCATAGCCCTTGTGCGTAAATGGAATCATTGTCTGTGTGCATGCATATTGCACACTATGGACTCCCTGAGAGCAGGAAATGGTCATATTCATCTTGTGTCCATCCTACACTGATCAGTGCAGTTCACAGTGCTTAATGAATAATTGTTAAGGACTATATAGCAAGACACCCAAGGTACCTTTTCAAAGAATCCTACCAGACTGACAGAAAAAAAAAAGGAAGGATCTACACAGCTTCTTTGGGGAGGCAGAAGATGGACTTGCATTCTTTTATGTGCTCTCTTCCCCATGAAGGAAAGCAACCCCCCTACTTACCATTCCCTGTAACATAAAGATAATCTATGCCAGTTCTGAAAGTTGCCAAAACAGAAATACTCAGGGTAATAGTCCCCAAATAGTGAAGACTCCCTTCGTCATTCAGTATATTTATTGTGCACCTACTATGCGCCAGGCTCTGGACTAGTTCTGAAGATATGGCTGTGAACAAGTTAGACAAGAGTCTAGCTCTTACAAAGCTCACATCCTAGTTGAGGAGATAGATAATGATTAAGTAGACAAACATATAAGCAAGATAATTTCACCTAATTACAATGGCTATTAAGAGAACAAAGCAGTGACGTAGCAGAGAGTGAGTGGGGTGAATCTGCAGCTGTCCTTTCTTGGAACCCAGTTCTGCTCCTTTGAAGTGTTCCCCTCCCCCTCTAACATCCTGCAATCCTCTTTGCTGGGTCACTTAGGCTCATTCACTCATGTGCTCAAATGCTCTAAAGCTCACAGTGAAAACAGTGTTGCTTTGTCCTGGAAGAAGTAAATCACAAAGCTAGCCTGTCATCACACTGCATCCTGTTACCAATCCACCTGCTGGTGTAGGGGAGTCTATCTCCTTTGCTCCGGACAGCCAAGGCCTCACAAGATCCTGGTGGTAAACAAAGCACCCCATAAACTTCAGCCACAGGAAGAGGCCCTTTCTGAATGATAGCCTCACTTTTTGATTTACTGCCACTTCCCTTTCCTGCATTTCCAACAAAAGCCATAGGTCCCACTGAATCTCATTTCACTGTTGGCTGTTTCCCCTGGGGGCAGCATCTGGCCCATAATTATAGTATGGAAGTCGTGGTTTAAGGTCTTCTGGCTCCTGCAGCTCTAGAGCTCTTCCATGGACCTGCCTTGGATGCAGAAAAATGCTGACCAAAGGAGGGGGTTTGGAGAGTGAAGGCCCACTTGCCATCCACAAGCCTCCCTTGAGGCCACCGTGGAGCAGACTGCAGCCAGGCTGACCGAGGTGCCCAGTGAACTAGTAACAAATCAATCTTAAGAGATCCTTCAAGGGGTCCTGAACTAATAACTTGCCAGCTTTATGCATTGCAGCTCTGTGTGCTGCCTCAATGGGGTGGAAGGAATGAGGCACTTGTAAGGTTATTGAGCGCAGCCTTTGCACAGGGGAACAGCGGGAAGTGATTTAGCAGCCGCACAGGTGTTTTCATTAATTACGCACTATAGGGAACACTCGCTGAGCTCAACAACCCCCACCATTCCCTGTGTGCGTTCCCACTTGTCCACGGCAGGATGTGCTGAGTAACTGGAGAGGGCTATTTTGTGGCTGAAGTGCTTCCTGGTGGCCAGGACACAAGGCCTCTCCTCACATGTACCCCCAGATCCCAGCCTGCCTGAAGGCAAGTCTGGGCAGGGAGTCTCCACTCTGCTTGGCTTGGGCAGAGATGGTGCAGGATGCCAGGAGAACTATGTCCAGGGGAGAATCTTAACTTCTCATAATCGGAATCGGATACAGCTGGGACATCTAGCTGTACCTGCCAACCCCCAAAGCAACTTCAAGTGAGATTGGGCATCCAAAAATTTGCAAAAAGAAGAGTAGGCAGGAAGAGGATGATCTTCTGGCTATTAGACTTCTAGACCTTTTCTACTGGGATCCTTTTGCTATCAATTCCCATCAACCAAAGGAATAGGACTTAACTCTACTTTTTTTCATATGGAGAAACTGAGGTGTAGATGGAACTAAAATAATAACAAGTCAGGTTTCCTAATTTCCAGTCTAGTTCCAAGACACCCTTCTATCTTTCTGCTTGAACTTTAATGTGTATACAAATCACCTGAGGCTCTTGGAAAAAACTGCAGATTCTGATTCAGGAGGTCTAGGGTGTTGTCAGAGAGTCTGCATTCTTAACAAGAGCCCCGGTGATTCTGTGTTGATCACCCTTTAAATAGCAAGAAAAGCTCTTAAACGGCCCTTCTCATTGGACAGAGCCTTCACAATGGTTTGATGAGGATTCCAGGCTCTCCCAGTTCACCGTTGCCCCCTCCTGTCTTTACTGCTCTATCAGGAGCTTAGTTTCACAGCTAAGCAATCTCGTGGCATTCTCGAAACACATGTATGGTTCTAGAGTTAAGGCATTCTACCTACGGGGAAGAAAGTGTGCCGGAAGCCAGCAGTATAATGCCAGGCCTCTTTATTTCGTGTGAATCATTCTGGAAGCAATGTACTAAAGACATTCACGGGTTGCTGTGGAAATTTGGGTGCTCACACCTGCTTCCCGACTAAGAAATAAGCTGTGTGAATACAGGACTGACGTTTCAGTAGAGTTCACTGGTAGCGAAGTCCAACAAGGGCTTGTCCCCATCTTAACTACGGACTCATTAGATTTTCCACTGGGCGGGACTTTGGTTCTTGATGGACAACCCTAGACACTTCCAAACCACACACTGTGATGAAGGGACAAAGCGAAAGCCTGTGCTCTGTACACTCCAAGAGCACCTTGACCTCTGTCAGGAAAAGATGTTTGCTACAACGTGGTTATAAACAAAAGGCCTATTGTGCCTTTTGTGTTTTGTATTGTGCTTAGAACTGTTTTAAGCACAATTTTATTTAATTCCCAGAAGTCGGTGAAAGAGATGTGCTTGTACCTATTTTATTAATGAATAAATAGAAGACATTAAGGAATGTTCCCAAGACCATGTAAGTAAAACATCAGAGCCAGGATGTGAATATGACTCTGGATATAGTACTCTCTGCAGCTGTTTTCCTTAAAAGTAAACATTAAAATGTGCCCTGCCCTATGGAAGGGAAAAGAAGAGAGGAGGTAGCTCTGCAATGCTTTTGAGAATCCACAAATAGAGGGAAAGAACTTTCTCCTGGGTTTTGGAGAATGGGCGATCAAGAGTGCTGATGATGTCTCCAGCTCTTCCCATCCACTCTCCCAAGTTTCCTTGGTTAATGTCATTCAAAATACACTTCCTTGGTTAATGTCATTCAAATTACATTTCTGTGGGTCCACCCTGTGTTGGGCACCCTGAGAGAGTCAAGAAAAGCTGACGATATACAGTTCCTAACATTAAGACTTTTACTGTCTACTTGGAGAAAAAGAGCCAGATCATGGGAAATAATCAGAGGAATTCATGGGAAATAATCAGGGGAATTCCTCTCTACTCTGTACATTAATTAGCAAGGAAGGAAGGAATGGAACACAGATCTCAATCTTGGCTGCACACTAAAATCATCAGAAAAATTTATAAAAGTACTGAAGCCACACAGAGATTATGATTTAACTAATAAAGGGCAATCATCCTCAAGTGTGATTTTGTACTAGCAGCATTAGCAATAACTTTTAGAAATATAAATTTTTGAGTCCCAGACCTACTGACTAAGAAAATCTGGGTGTAGAGCCCAGCAACCTGTGTTTTAACATGTCCTCTGGGCGATTCTGATGCATGCTAAAGTTCTCAAAGCAATGACAGACGATGCAACCTGAACATTGGGTTCTTTTTTTAAAGCTCTCCTGGTGATTCAACTGTGCAGCAGTTTGACAACCACCGATGCAGAAGACCATAAAGACNAAGTACTGAAGCCACACAGAGATTATGATTTAACTAATAAAGGGCAATCATCCTCAAGTGTAATTTTATACTAGCAGCATCAGCAATAACTTTTAGAAATATAAATTTTTGAGTCCCAGACCTACTGACTGAGAAATTCTGGGTGTGGAGCCCAGCAACCTGTGTTTTAACATGTCCTCTGGGCGATTCTGATGCATGCTAAAGTTCTCA